CTATTTTGAAAATAAATAAATAATTGTTATAATTCTTTTTCTATCCTTTGCAAATGATTCAAATTTTAGTATGTTATTATGGATGATAACGACTACCAGTTATCAAAATTTCAGCTTTTCACAGTTGTTATTTCTAACAAATATTAGGTTTTAAAATTTTGTCACTTAGTTTTGGACGCTACTGTATATATATATATATATATATATATATATATATATATATAAATATATATATACACACACACACATATCCATTACATACATATGCAAAATCACATCCAGACATTGTGTGATGGACAGAGAATCAATTTTTCTTTTATAGTATAGATTCCTTATAAATCCTTTTTACAGAATTGGGCAACAGTAACACCATGGGGGAGGGGGAAATACTGCTGTGATTTTTGGTAGCAATTAAATTTTATATAGTAAAATTGATACTCCCAAATTCAATCCTAATCATTTGCCAAGGGGTGGGAAACTAGTTCATATTCGAAGTTGTCCTTCAAGGCTGGCTGCCATCCAAAGCTAGAGAGCCCCGTCTGCTCTGCTATTTTACCAAGAGCTAGGTGAGATGTAAAGATGGGTTTATGCCTTTCTAAACCAAGTAAATGAATTGTTTTCTTTAAGCCTCGAAAACATCTGTTTGCTTTGTTTCTTAGACTAAAGTTTCATTCTTATGCTTGCTTCCTTAAAACTCCAAAAATGAGTGATGAATTTCAAGTTCAAAAACATGATACCTAAAATGAGAGTGCTCTATGATGTTCACCTCATTCAATTCTTAGGTCAATAGCATATAGCTACAAAATCTTGCAGGCAAAGACAGAAGCTGCTATATACAAAGAGTAGAAAGCACCTATCCTGTCGAAAAAGAAATTAACATTCTTAAATATAAAAGACACTTGAGCAAAGTAGTAAGAATCTTAACAGATAAATTTATCTGGATAAAGCAGAATATAATGACTAACTTCTTTTATATGCCATATCTCTTAAGGACGTGGATGATCATGGTTCTCCACGACTTCCTGTCCTTTTTAGAATTTGCTGTCTTTTTTGCTATCACTCCTAATCCCCATTCTGCCATCCATTTGCAAAAGCTCATTACATATGTCACTCGTTGCTTTCTGCTGTCCTCCTTGCCTTTAATATCCTGCGAGTATTAAATTCTCCAAGCCCTCTTTCCTCATTATGCGTCCTAGAAATATCAGCTGTCTCTTTATGTTTAGTGTCCTTTTTGTTTACATTTTCCTTAAAAACTTTGTTGTTCTGTCAATAGTATTCTCAGCATTCTTCTGTAGAACCAGATTTCTGTTGCCTCTCCTCTTTACTAATATTACATAATAGTTCAACCTTCTTTGTTTCTCATGAAATTTTGAATTGGTTACAACAGTTTTGATAAAAGACTTTAGACAAGAAGAATACTATCTTTTATGCGTCTGCGTCTTGGCCTTACATCAGAAGAAACAAAATGTCCAACATTTACATTTAATTTGCATAATGATTTCTTTAAGACATGTTTTAACAAATATTTCCATGTTATTTCTTTTTAATTCATTGTGTTTTTATTGAAAGAATTTATATTTACTTTGCCAAAATTCAGTTGTAAGTTAGCAGGAAAGTGTCAAGTTTGTTTACATTTAAATAGAGCCTACAATAAATATTGTCTTTTCTGAAAATAATGTTTTCATGTTCTTTTTTTTGTTTTTTTTCTTACCTGTCATGGAGAAAATAATTTTATATAATATTAGCCCTTTTTTTTTCATTTAGAATTCTATAATTTTAGGCCTCGCAACATTACAATCTTATTTCCTGCAGCGTTCATAATAACCATTGTTGTCAACTGACATTACACATTATGATAAATTAGTCAAGCAGAGCCAAAAATATTACAGAATTATCTGAATAAGTCAAAATGATCTGTCAAATTACATTTTCTTAAAACTTCACTGAATTATTTAAACAAGCGAAAAATAGTAAGCCTGCTGAATTATTTGCAAATAATGGCAATAAATATTACAAGATTATTCAAAGGTATCTCTTTTGGTCAGTTCTGTATAGCTATGTTTAGAGTGGGAAATTTGAGGAAATTTAGAAAATAGATGCCTTACTGAAAATATTCTTTATATAGATATTTTATAGCCATGAAAGAATTTCTGGGGAGTATTTTAACAGAGGTTGGAAAGAGCAATACTGAGATCCAAAGGCATATTTGAATAGCCAAAGAAGATTTCCAAAAGCTAAGCAGAGTACTGAGAAATGGAAAAATTTCACTAGAAACAAGGAAAAGAGTACTAAAATGCTGTGTTATATCTGTCCTTCTGTATGGCAGTGTGTGCTGGATGATTTCCCTAAAGATGGAGGAGACTTGAAGCAAGAGAAATGTAATCCTACAGAAGGATGCTGAGGATACCGTGGACTGAATATCTCGAAAAGGCAGTTGTTCTAGGAGTGCTTGGAAAATTTGATACTCATGAGACAGAGAGAGGGCAAGAAAGATAGAGTAAAACAATGCATAAACTACTTAGTGACCTTGAGTAAATGGATGGCGGAACAGGGATTAAGAGAAATAACAAAAAGACAAAGTTTATTAAGAACTACAAGGGACAGGAAGTTGTGAAGATCCATGATCGCCTATGTAAAGAAGAGAGAATTTCTATTCCAACTTGGTTTTATCTAGCCATAGAATGGGTATTCAGTGTGTTGATGCGTTTTCTTCCTTTAATGGTTGGATAGTGAACATTAAATTTCATGACCTCAAAGCTAAAATAAAACATTCCATTTTTTTTTTTTTACAGTTTCAAATTAATTGTTCTTTGTGCAATGTAACTGTATTTAATGCGATAAGACAAGCTTGAGTGGTCTGAAATTGTTTTATAGACAAATCATCAGGCTGGAGACCTGGCTGTCATTACTGGGCAAGGAAAAAGCATGCTGATTTTATCTGTCCAGAAATTTAATAAAACATGACAAAACTTATTAAACAAAGAGACGATGTGGACATATGGTTTAACACTTCATGGTGACTGTCAATTTCAGAATTGATCTGAAACTTGCATTAAAGCAGGAAACTAAAAGTCAACATGCAGTATTGATCCCTGTGTCCACACTTTATTTCTCTCCATGTAACTCACAGAGAAAATAATAATATAATCAAGATGTTGACATTCCACATATCTTCAAATAAAAGGTTAGGGAGGAAACCCCCATCAATACTGGAAAAGGTGATAACAGCTACTAGACTCAAAAAAAATATTTTTTCAGGAAAATGGGTTAAGTCAAAGATAATTAATTTCAGAGCAGTAACTGGCTGCTTGGTCAATGAATGCTAAATATTTTCTTGTACAGAAAGAGTTAATATAATTACTATATATGCATGCAAATTTGGTTGATACCAATGAAAATTCTTTGTTATTGCTTAAAATTTTTATCATTTATTTTTTGGGACCATTTTTATGGTTTACATGGTGAACGAACATGCGTTTAATATTTCCAAAATTTTCTACCAGTCCAAACAGAGAATTTTGAAAATCTTCACTCATAATAATAAACTTTCATTGGTCCAACTAAACTTACATACACACACACACACACACATATATATATATATATATATATATATATATATATATGTATGTATGTATATGTGTATATATATATATATGTGTGTGTGTGTTTTATCACTTAAACATTTTTAGTGGATACACACATTTGAGTAGACACACTATTTTTGTCTACCAGCTTCAATATTCATGAAGTCATATTAAAGAAAACCTGCATCCCACTTAGCAGGAGAAATTTTCATTAAATCCGACATGTTTTAGACAAACTCAGTCACAAAGGGTTTTACTGCTTTGTGCAAAGCAGAATTGTAGCCAAGTTTGTTCAAAGCACACTGAATCTAACACTGGTTTCTTCTGCTAAATGAGGATGCTAAAAGGGGGATTTTATGTCATTTTAATTTGAAAAATTATTTATGTACTTATTTTTAAATGGTTTCAAGTTTTCTTTTAACTTTTAAAATTTTTATGGCCATGTTTGCTGATTCGTTTACCAAGCCAACACACAAGACCATAATTTTTTTTTAAAAATTAGAAGGAAATCACATAGCTTGGATTTTCATCAGCAGCTAAAATGGATAGCACATGTAACAAACCTGAAGAGAAAATAATGATATGATCAAGATGTTGGCTTTCAACACTACTTCAAACAAAAGGTTTGGAAGGAAACTCTTCATCAATCCTGGAAAGAGTGATAGGTAAGTTTTTTTATTGCTGGTAAAATTTTTTTTCAGTATATAGATGGCAACTTTTTTTCTTTTTTCTTCAAAAATGTATTGCTGGAAAATATTTTTTCTTCAAAAATGTATTGCTGGAAAATATTTCTTCTTCAAAAATATATTTCTTGAAAATATTTCTTCTTCAAAAATATATTTCTGGAAAATATTTCTTCTTCAAAAATGTATTGCTGGAAATATTTTGGATATGTTGGATGTAGTTTATCGTCTTTCCAGGATGCTGGTTAGTAAGGATCTCCCCCCCCCCATCAATACTGAATAACAGTTACTGGACTTGGTGGAACATGTTTTCATGAAAAACTGTTTTAAGAGAAAGATCTTACAAATTTTAACTGACAGTCATAAAAACTGCTCAGTCAATGAATGCTGAATATTTCCTCATAATGAAAGAGCAAATCATATCATTATCATGTTAATATTTAAAGCATGTTATGATTGTATAATATTAGTTATGACATGTATTTATAACAGAAATTAAGAAAATTGCTTGAAAATCTGAGAAATACACAAATATGAATGGAAAAAAAGCAATGGTAGAGATTGGAAGCAGATGATATGAGATCAAAGAAACAAGCAAGTTATCAGATAAAGAGATTAATCAACAAAATGTATGCAGTTGAGATGGAGGAAAAAGGAAGAATAACAAAGCAAAAGGTCAATTTTCTATTATCTGCTTATTTTTTCAGAATTTTTCTTTCAAGGTAGAATAATGAACAATGATATTTTAATTCTGAAAAGAAAATCTTTCTTCTTTAATGTTGTCACATTATCATCTGATCCTCAAATTTCTTTTCCTGCTCCATTCGTTTCTCTTTCTTCTTCCCTATTTGTCCTCTCTAGCCTCTTCAGTTTTTCTCTTTCAGTTCTTCTCTTTTTTGCCTCACCTTTGTCTAGTCTTCTCCCTCGTCTCTTTTCCATCCTTTCCCCCTCCTCTTCTTCCCCTCCTCTCCTTCCCCTTCTTCCCCTTATCTCCTTTCCATCCTACCCCCTCCTCTCTTTTCCATCCTTTTCCTCTCCTCTCTTCAATCCTTCCCCTTTTCTATCCTTCCCCCTCCTCTCTTTTCCATCCTTTTCCTCTCTTTTCCATCCTTCCCCCTTCTCTCTTTTCCATCCTTTTCCTCTCCTCTATTCTTCCTCCTTCTCTCTTTTCCATCCTTTTCCTCTCCTCAATCCTTCCCTCCCTTCAATTCTTCCCCCTTCACTCTTTTCCATCCTTTTCCTCTCTTTTTCATCCTACACCCTCCTCTCTTTTCCATCCTTCCATCTTTCCCTCTTTCTTTTCCATTCTTCCATCTTTCTTTCCTCTTTTTTCAGTTCTTCCTCCCCCCAAAGTCTTTTCCATCCTTCCCTCTGTCTTTCTCTCCCTTCATTCCTTTCCCTGTCTTCCTTCTTTTCCCTTTCTTTTTTTTCAATTCTCTTTGATCATTCCCTATTTCACAACAATTTTTTTTCTTTTTCTATTTTTATCCTCCAACCAATCCTCACCCCTCAATTTCCAGATCTCTTCCTCTCAACCAAGCTCTGATATTTGCACCTTCATTCCTTGACCACACTGCCCTAACCCTGAAAGAAATATTCTCTTTATTGTATTTCCATAAATTTGGTGCTGTTGAAAAGTCAATTTTATTGCACCATTATTTCAATATCCTTATCTTCTTCCATCTTATCACCAAATTCTCTTCTCTTTTTCCACTATCATCATTGCCTCTCCTACCACAACCTCTCACTTTTCTTCTTTCCTACCAGCATTAGATTCTCAATAACAATCCTAATTCAGTCAATAGCTTCAAGTATTATTTTTTTTTTTTACATCTTACTCAAAACGCTGGGAATATTTATTACATTTAAAGCTATTTCTCCTTTTCCTTCCTTACAATCAATAGTTCCAATGAAGATGTACATTATTCTTTTTCACCTCTTTGCACACATTAGATTCTTTATTAACAAGATTCAGACTATCAGTTGGTTTTTACTTACTCAATTTCAAACTGACTTGTTTCACAATCAGACTAATAATGAGAACATTTTAAATCCATTTGTTTTTTTTTTATTTTTGGTTGCTGATGTCAAGAGGGGAAAATCCCATTCCATGAAAGAGCAGAACATAGCAATTATAATTGGCAAAAAGAAAAAAAAAGATCTATATTTCTGAGATGAGGTATTATGTACATTATTTACATTATTTGGACTATTGTCCTCATCTTTGTCACCATATTTATTACAACGTTTCAGCTGTTGTATGCTCCGGCTTTCTTCAGGTGGTTGGAATGTCGAACTTAACCCTTTATTTCGCTCACTGGGGTAGACCGTTCTAGTTCCATGTGCTATGTTTTAATGGATGTCCGTTATCAGTTATCTCCTGTTAATTTCCCTTTGAAAGTTCTCCACTGCCTTAACTCGGTATTGAACTCAGTCTTTTGGGTCCTGTCACTGGATCTAACCAACACCTTTATCTGCCTTTGTGTCATGTGTCCTTGAGGCAAAAAAGATATCTTTCAAGACTCACATATGAAAACCTATCAATACAAAGTCTTAATAAAGGATTCCAAAGAACGGTTGGTTTTCTCAGATTTACTAACATTATTAACTAGAAATAAATATATTTAAAATCTTACATGTAAAAGCCTATTAATACTAAGTTTTAATAAAAGAGAAAACACCCATTGGTTTAGTTTAGATTGTTTTACGGCATATCAACCACAATGGATTATTTAATGCCGGTAATATTTTTATTTCAAGAAGTATTTCTGGTAATATTTTCTTCTAAAAAAGTATTGCTGGTAATAATTTTCTTACAAAAATGGTTTGCTGGTATTAAAACTTATTTTTACACGTTTTTGGAGGTTAACTATTTGCCCATAGCTGGGACCCTAACAGGTGCTACCACCCCAGGTCAGAGTGGACCTGGGAACACCAGCAATTAAGAGGTGGTTCCACGCTCATCAAAACCTCCTGATCAGAGGCCTTACTGCCGGATGTAGTTTATCATCTTACCCAGGATAGGAAATTTTTATAATTACTATCATAGTACATGCTAGACCTTAAAATAATTAAAATTACCAATTCTGAGGACGACATCATTTACAGATCACCATTTCTTGTTTTCATATGACCAATGTTGGCTCATTCAGTAAAAATGTTGAAAAATGGGGTTATCTCAACTTTAAAATAATGGTATTTTCAAAAAAAAAAAAAAAAAAATAATCAGTTTAAATGTTTTTTAAGTCAAAAACATTGTGAGGGAAGAGTTCCAATTAATAAAAAAAAAGGTAATTCAGATATAAAAAATATATTACTTAGTCTAGGGGGATTTGCACCTCTTCTGTCATCAAATGGGCTTTTGGTTTGCCATCATCCACAGATTTCATTATTGACCATCTTTGTCAGATTTCTTAGTAAATCAAATTTATGTTCATATTTTTCTTATCTTTCTTAAAAAAAAAAAAAAATGTTATTTTTTATATTGATGTAAGGTAAATATATACGGGGTGTATCAAAAACAGTTTTATAAACATTTCCTCAGACCAAACAAGGACAAAACTCCATATAAACATATGTACGCAAATCCTCCATTTTTGAGTTATGTTTACAGTAGATACTGTTAAATGTACAATCCAAAAATACTTATTGCATAGTTTGTGGTGCCATGGATCCTGTCTCAGTAATGCGACGAGAAACAACAGCAAAGGTTGAATGATTCCAATGCCTTCAGTCTGGAAACACAATCTGATACAGCCCTGCAGACTCGCGTTCATTACCATTCATGCGGCTATATGTAAAAATCATATCTGCCTGCTCATGATATGAATATCCTGCTATTGACAAATGGAAGAATTCTCGGTTAACTGACTACAACCCATTTTTAAACAGTGACGACAGACTAGACGCAAATATACACGAATGACAAATGTAACCTAGTCCATGTGTCAACACAGCAACGTCTACTGTAAACTTTCTTTAAACTTAATAACTGAAAAACAAAGGATTTGCAGGCATATGTTTATATAGACTTTTGTCCTTGGTTGATTTTTTTTAATTTCTTGTCAGGAAGGTAACATCTTGATGATATTGGCCTAGAGGTGATCCTAGCATGTGCCTTGCAAAAGTGCCTGAAAAACGTACCATGGGCTGACCCAAGCATTCTGAGTGAAACTGTGTAGACAAAACTATCTGAGAAATGACTATGGTTGAGCTTGCACAAAGTAGCAAGTCATCGTGACTGAGAGTTTGAGTGTATTGTCTTTGTTCAGGCTGTTGATCATGCCAGATAATGCACTCTCTCCCAGAAACTGTAACTAAGGTCGGCTCAGAATAGTTGTCATATAAACCATCTTATCGTTCCTCTCACTTTGTTTCAAATATTTTTGCATATATTTATATACCCTTTTAAAACATCTGTATTTAAAGTCCTAATAAAATTTTGCACTCCAATATATATATATATATATATTTGTTAGTTCCTCTTCCTCCCTATGGAACATTGATCTCCTTTTAATGCCACATCTGAGGATAATGAAAGTTTCAGTGGGAATTTAGATTTACAGGCAGTCCCCAGGCACAGGTATACACAGTTTTAGGATAGTGTGATCAGATTTGAATTCAGAGTTTCTTTCTCTTAGACTGGTTGTTCCCCAAGGCTATAAGACCCAGTCTGTCCATTTTTTTATCCATAGATGGGGTGGGGAGAGATGGATTTATACCTTTATCAAGGAGATTATCATATAAGTGGATATAATGAATCTTACTAGAATTTGATCTCAGCTCTCCCATTCCTCAATCCAAGCCACTAGTACTCCACCATGTCTATATTTAAGGAATGAAGACTTTTTTATTTATTAATCCAACAGATTCACTTAAATGTTATTTTTAGTGAATATGCATATTTGAGTAGACACTTTTTTTGTTTTTAAACTTAGGTGCAAATACCCTTGAGAAAAGTATGAATCTATCTTTTTTCCTGCCCAAGTATGGGTTAAATAGCAAAAAAAAAACAATGTCCTATAGCATTGGATGGTAACTGGTTTAGAAAACTGAAGAGGGTTGTCTGGGAATCTTGTTGTCCACTGTTTCCCAATTCTCTGTATTCAGCTCTTCCAGAAAGTGTACTTGGCTCTGCACAAGACTTCACCACCATAATCAAATCATATATGCAAGTAATATGGCAGTTTGGTTCTAAGAACTATATGAGTTGATGTACCCTTGTCAGTCAAAAATGATGAGAGATAGCTGTGTGTGTGTATATTTAAATAATGATCAGACATCACAGGGTAAATATATTGATTTAAAAAGAACATTAGAATTTTTTTTTTTTTTTTTAATTTTCCTTAGAAATTCTATCGACGAATACTTCACAAGGATTCATTGGTGTGATTTGGGATGAGACAAAGGACAATAATCACAAGAACTGACTAGTCGAAAATGAAGGGAATTACAGAACATGACAAACAATTTATTAGTAAAAATAATTACTGAATAAAATATAATTCCATTGAGGATAAAAAAGAAAAAGTTACTCACACCCTCCAAATAACTCAAGTGAGTTGGTAGATTGTTCTTTTTGATTGCATAGACTGCTGTATTTTAATGAACACTGCTTCTAAAATTTTCGAATGATGAGCAGAATGAGCTCTATGCAAGATGATGAAACAGTCATCTGTATACTGTATAGTCAGGATTATCTAACAGGTGATGACCAATAGCTAAGTCATGCACTGCTTGGGTCTTCCTAAAAGATTGACTGGAGTTACCTGTTCTTATACTAGCAGGAACATGTTCGTCGATATGTGTCTCCAATCTCTAATTGGTCTGTCTTATTTATGCAGCGTCACACTGACATTTAAATCTATATACTACAGAACTACTTTGTAAATAGGACAGACCGTCCTTAACTAAAGAGGGGAACACTGAACAGGTCTCAAAAATGAGACTTAATTTCAGTTGAAAAGTTTTATGTAATAAATGCCAATACCTTGCTGGTAAGTACTTGATGGTTTCTAACCAGCCATAGTGGTTTTAGATATAAGGGACACAAAGTAGGACCAAAAACCACTGGCTCTTTGAAATGTTTAATTTTCTGTTCAATAGTGTGACTAACGACATTAATGGAAAAACCATTATCAATGAAAATACTATGGATTTTCTCCATTTCTTGATCAAGGGTACATGGGGAACAAATCATAAATGCACAATAGAAAGGGGTAGAAACCAAGTTGATCTTACAGGACTTAGGCACAAAGGAATTATAATTTGTATATAAACCAGTAAACACAGGTTTTCAATAAATACTGTTGATGAATAAACCATCCTTACATTCAACTAAAACATCCAAGAGTGGTAGGGTACCATTGATTTCCACTTTCATTGTCAACTACAGTGAAGGGGATTGAGAAGGGTGTGAAAAGCTGTGGCGTCCTTGATAGATTTAAAGATCAAAAATATATCATCAGTATCAATAGTTGTAGGTCTTACAGCTTTTTTTCAAAAAGACGACTCATAATAAGCAACAAAAACCAGAATTGGGACTGG